TGGGTGGGGGATTCTGGGAGTTGAAGCCCACCCCTCTTAAATCATGCTGGGTGGGGGATTCTGGGAGTTGAAGCCCACCCCTCTTAAATCATGCTGGCTGGGGGATTCTGGGAGTTGAAGCCCACCCCTCTTAAAACATGCTGGCTGGGGGTTTCTGGGAGTTGAAGTCCACCCCTCTTAAAGCATGCCAGCGGGGGGATTCTGGGAGGTGAAGTCCACCCCTCTTAAAGCATGCTGGCTGGGAGATTCTGGGAGTTGAAGTCCACCCCTCTCAAAGCATGCTGGGTGGGGGATTCTGGGAGTTGAAGCCCACCCCTCTTAAAACATGCTGGCTGGGGGATTCTGGGAGTTGAAGTCCACCCCTCTTAAAGCATGCCAGCGGGGGGATTCTGGGAGGTGAAGTCCACCCCTCTTAAAGCATGCTGGCTGGGAGATTCTGGGAGTTGAAGTCCACCCCTCTCAAAGCATGCTGGGTGGGGGATTCTGGGAGTTGAAGCCCACCCTGCTTAAAAGATGCTGGCTCAAAATCAAGATGGCTTTGAGTGAAATATTTTTAAAGGGATGCCTGAGTTATAAATAGTCCTCGATTTACGGCCGCAATTGACACCAGAATTTCTGGCAGTCGATAAGCGAGTCACGCCGGATTCTGCGGCCTCGTTTTACCTCAGATGTTAAGCAAACCGCTGCCGTTGTTAAGTGAACCCCATGGTCATTAAACGAATCCAGCTTCCTCCATTGACAGTTTCCCACAAGCAAATTCAAGAGGGTGGGGTGGGGGGTCAGATTCACTTTAACGACAGGATTCGCTTCGTGACGGCAGCAATTCCCTTAAATTGGCTGAGGAGAAATTTACTTTAACCGGCGCCTGGCTTGGAAACGTTGGCCTCGGTTATGGTCGTAAGTTGAGAACCACATGGAATTAGGGATGGCGGAGGAAGGAAGACGGAACAAACTGGATGGAGGGGTCTTTTAATCTTCTTTTTTCCTCCCCCCTAAGGTTTCTCTATGCCAAACTTCTCCTGCTGTTAACCGAGCTTCGGACACTCAAAGTGGAAAACACCCGTCAGATCCTCCATATCGACGACCGTCAAAACCTCTCTTCCTTGACCCCCCTGCTCTCCGAAATTATCAGCTAAAAGGGGGAAACCTCTGCTTTGCAAATAGATACAGGCTTCCCCCCGCCCCGACTTACCACACTTGGTTTAGTGACCATTCCGAGTCACTAAACCGGAAAAGTCTCACACTTACGGCCGTGACAGCACCCTCAAATGCTCGCATTTATGATGGTTGCAGTGTCCCGGATTCGGGGGAAATCCCCTTTTGGGACCTTCTGACCAGCAGTGCCAAGCGGGGTGGGGTGGGAAGCCAGGTTCACTTAACGACCGTGTTCCGTGTTATAAGCCACAGCGGCAGTAATTTACTTAAGTAAATAATTAGCGTCCATACGGAAAACGCAGCGTAAAATGAGGCAGATGTCACTTTTTAAAGGACCGTCTCATTTAGCAACGGAAAATTTGCCCTCAAGGTGGTTGTAATTAGAGGACTATCAATACGGTAAAAAAAAAAAAAGACACACCCGCATCTGTGCTCAGTTCTAGTTAGCGGCTTCCTTTTTCCCCGCTGTGATCCAAATTCAGAGACGCTCGACAACCGACTCGCATTTACGACGGTCGCAGTATCCGGGGAGGAGGGATGTGCGGCCCTCACGTGATCCACTTTTGCGACCTTCTGCCGAGCCAAGTCCCCTTCACAACCGTGTTCCTAACGGGATAGTGATTCGCTTAACGACGGTGGCCAGAAAGGCCGCACTAGGGGGTGAAATTCACATAAACGATGTCTCGCTTAGCAACGTACATTTTTTGGGGGGCTCCATTGTGGTCGTGAGTCGAGGACTGAACTCCAGCGGGGAGAGGATTCTCTTGGAAATTTGCTATTTTGCTTATTGGTACAACGCCACGAGGAAAAGGACTCTTCCCCTCTCTGCTCTTCCAGCAGCACTTTAATGGTAGCAATTAAATTAAATTAAAACGTGGTTTATTTTTCCAGATTGGTTTTTCATCTTTTGTGGGTTCACTCAAAAGCTTTCCCTGCAGGTTTAGTGAATATTTTTTTATTTATCTTTTCATCCAGCCATGGTATCATCTATCTATCTNAGGGAGGAAGGGAAGAAGGGAGAAGGATGGAAGAAGGAAGGAAGATTGGTGGGAGTGGGAAAGGAGAGAGGATAGGGGAAGGTGGGAGGGAGGGAGGAAGAGAAGGGAAAGGAGGAGAGGAAAAGGAGGGAGGGAGGAAAGGAGGAAGGAAGGAACGAAGGAAGATCATTTCAGAGCCTTTCCTCTCCGCTTTGACGCTTTTTCTTCGCATATTATAGAAATATTCCATTTTCAATATGTTTTTCAAGAGTACTTGAAAATTGTAAGGAGGATGTTAATAAACAACCAAAATTTCCATCAAGAAAAAAAGAAAGAATCCAGGTTGCCATGTTGACACCCTATTTATGCCTTCCAGTACAGCTGATTCTTTCAACTTGATTCATTTTGGTGAGCAAAAGAGAAGGGCTGTTATTTTGTTTTCGGGGATCTTGTTTTTAATTATTGTTTGCTTTGGATTGTATAACAAGCCTCCTGCTTTTGCTCAGGGAAAGGAGGCCTGCCTTTTAAGCAGATCTCGGCTGCTGCCGATTCCTCTCCAGGCGTAAGTGGCAATTTAGTAAGAAATACCTGTCAGTGTCAGAATATATTTACGGCACGTTAACTTTGAAGAACTGCAGGGTGTGTTTTTCTCTCACTGAGGTTGGGGTTTTTTTTGCTTTTTTTTTTGCTTTTTTGTAAAATGCAGCACATGAACTGTGGGTGTGTGGACAGTAAGCAGACTGTACCAACCGATTCATCTCCCCCAGGAATAAATTTTAAAAATAAAGAAATATGCTGATAGAGGCAAGAAAAAAAAAACTTTCCAAAACATAGTGCGGAGGGCGGGGCTGAGAGAGAATTGAGAAACTGACACCATCAAAGGGAATTCATCTGGCAGCTGACAAAGATTTAAGGCTATTCCTCCCTTCACCGGGAGGAAGAACAAGTTAGCCTCTTTTCTAAAATACACCACGTTTTAGAGAAATATATAAATGGGAGCATAGATAATATAGAAATAATATAGCATAGACTGACGTGGGGGAGTGGGGGAGCTTTGGTGACCCCCTCCTTACTAGAGGTGGGTTCCTACCAGTTCGCACCTATTCGGTAGAACCGGTTCGTCAAATCTACCGAACCGGTTAGAAGAGGTTCCACCAGTGGACCCAGAAAGCAGACCACACCTACAGAAGAGGTTCCAAATAATTTTGAAACCCACCACTGGTCTGAACATACACATACTCTTTTATGTATTATGCTTAGGTCTGACCTAAGCGTAGTACACAAAATTATCTGCTACAATGTCCTACCTGTCAATGACTACTTCAACCACAACAATGCAGGAGCACACAATAGATACAAACTTAAGATAAACTGCTCCAAACTCGATTGTAGAAAA